TGTCATTATGACTCTACAGCATTTTATAGTTGACTTCAAATAATTTTTTCAACTGCCTAAAAGTTCTGAATCCATTAATAATTATTTCGAAACTGCATTACAGGGACTTTTTGAATGGTCATAGTTTTCAAATTATATTTAAATCTAATTAAAGTGATATTGAAGTCTCTTTCAACTATCCTCTTTTGTAAGTCTGATATTGTTATTAATATTACAGATGGAGAAGACTCACAGGAAAACAATTTTGCAACCATCCTGTGGGGATAAACTGCTCGTGAGTCATCCCTCTCATGATGCGAGTAGGCACAAGGTTTTACCTATGGAATTCACAACCGAGCTGGCCAACGACCCAAACGAAGGAGAACAAGATTATAAAGCTAACGATGCTCGACTAAGTGACTGCAATGATCTTAATCTAACCCCAGCCAAAGACACCTCACATCTCAGTGTTGCGAGAGATAATCACTTCATTCAGCCTCAGAGAAGAAATAGATGTTCAGCCACGGCTGTGAGTAACGAAAGGTCCGAACCAAAGTATGAAAAATCGACGGTCACAGAACTAAGTGAACTATCATGTTTGCTGAGAAAACTGTCAGAGAATAAAGCTGCATCGTCGAAACAAATTTACACACAAAATCGTGAATTAGAAAATCACAGAAATGCGAGTGAAATGTGCAAAGATTACTTACAGCTAAGCTCTGTTAACAGACCGTTATTTGAGAAGATGTTTTGTGATATTGGAAGTGTGTCCAGCTTTTCTGAGTGCTCCTCGTCGGATGCAGAATACTATGATATTCTGAAGGAAGAAAGAAGTTTCTTACGAGGGAAGATGATCCGTGATGAACACTCGTTTAATTTTGGCATTGAATGTGTGGAGAGAAAAGAACGACCTTTAACGGTGAGTAAAAAATTTAATTTCGTTCCTGCAGGTCTCAGCTCCACGTAGCTCCATTTTGCTGTAGTCTTGTCATTTATTAGGAAAGAGTTGCGAAAATCATTTCAATGCCATCAAATGATGTGAAAAAGATTTTAGAGCACTGTCAAAACTTGAACGTAATGCATGCTTTCCCATACCATTATAACCGCACCATGCCATGATTATAGAGCCCTCAAGCGAAGGCTTCAAATAATGACTCCTGCTCGCGGACAGGCATTGCTTTGCTGCATTTCATAATATTTTTAAATAGATTGTGTCTCTGCAAGCTATTTGCCACATAATGGGATTAATTTCAATCATACAAATTTCTAATTTTTAGTTTATTCGAAGAGAATTATAGTAGGAACGAAGTATTGCGTAGTGGAAACTTTGTCTTTTTTCTCGCGTAATTCCCTTACATCATCACTAGCTTCGAGATATGAGCTACTACTAGTCGGGTACTGCACTCATTGCAATAATACCCCGGCTTATTTAATCAATAAATAGAAGAACAAAGCTGGCGTCGGCCCCAGGAATTAGAAGTATAACATAACATCAAACCAATAATGAATTAAACAAGTGATCGATCACCAAACAAAGATGAATCAACATTAAAAAGTGAGCGCCATAATAATTGTAAAATTTAGGATATGCTTTTAAAAATTTCTTTTTAAAGACAACACTTCTAAAGAGGCCAGTGTCCCCGATGTTCGAAATGTACAATGAATTTCTTATTTCATTTTTAAATAGTTAAAAAAAGTATTTTTCACTTTTTATATATATATATTTTTACAATTTTTAAATTATTTATTCCGGAAATTGATGCATTGATGTGCAAAATTCTAGATCGATTTGACAGGTAGAAGTGTGTTAAATATCGATTATAAGGTTTGTTACAAACAAACAAGAAGTGTGGTCTCCTGGGCCAAAGAGGCTAAACACGAATCTTGTCCCAGCTTCAGATTATTTCAGATAATGTTCAACTTACGAATTTTATCCGAACATGTAAAAATGAACACAAGCAAAGGATTATTGATAGTCAATAGTCAAGTGTCACTGACAGTAGAGCACTCCCGAGATGACATGAAATTTGACAAAAAATTAGTCTGGTTTTCTCTCAACGCATGGGTTCCAATTGTAAAAATATAAATGTTCTTAGACACTTCCAATATTGGAGTCTTGAATCATTTACAGTACACTATATACTATTTTATGTAGTATGGGTACATGGATACATCGTGCACCAATAGTTTGAACTGTACGCTCCCTTCTGACATAATACACTTACAATACTTACAATACTGTGCTATGTATTTGTATTATATAAGTATTATAATACTTATCTATAGAAACACGGAGGGTAGTAGAGTCACTTACATCGCGTGTAGTCACTTCACAATGAAAAAATAGCAAAATAACAAGTTTTAAAGAAGATGGCTGATTTTCTTAGAATTATTTCATAATCCGCAAAATGCTTCAGGTGGACTTGGGGCATGGTGATCCTGAAGAGACATTCAATAGCCAGGTCTTTTATATGGGCTGGCTGCCACGCGTTACATGTTCGTTCATGTCGGTAGGATGAGAGGGTCAGGCAGGTGCTATATAATAGCAGAGGCTAAAGGAGTGGGAAAGTCCGTGGTAAGTATTAGGCGAAAAACTCATTTCTAGCCTTCATTCCCACCGAACTCCTCCTCTCCCTCGCTTACCATGCACTCTCAAAGTATCGCTTTGCACTCTCAGTTATAGCAGCAGTCATTCCTGCTGACAGTGACAGACCCTCTAGGCCTCTGCTCTATAATCGCAATCAGATCATCGGAAGGGCTTTCTGAAGTTCAACTTTAAAGTAGTTACCGCTTGATACGTGTATAGTTTTTTTTATCAACGTTTGGGCGTTTTCTTTCAGTGGAATTCAGGACTTTTCAGGCGTACTCTTTTATTTTGTAAATTTTCCAAGCTCGTCCAATTTAATTATGATGCTCATAGTATTGTAGTATGGAGTTATCAGTAGTATACGAATAATGTATAGTTATGCCGTGTGTATATTGTGTTCAAAGGTAAAACCTGATTTGATAAAAAATTATTGTTTATCATTGCGGCGGGTATTCGTCCCACAAAAAAATTCTTAAACAATTCACGACCGAATTTTATTTGACACATTTTCAAAAGAATGTTTGTTTTTGCTGCAGAAGGAGAAACATAAAGCCATCGTGTGTCGCCTGTTTCCTACGCCTTTGCATCATCTTATTCTTGCACAAATCATAAAATTATATCTAAGTACTAAATCGAAATGGCAAAATTTTTATCCAGTATGATAAAAAATTTAATTAATTACCTACTTAACCGTTATATCATCAATATATTGATGATGGCAAATAATTATTTTTGTAATACGTTTGAAATAATTTCTATTTAGACTTTTGAAATAATACGTTATAGTTCAACATCACTTTTAATATGATAAATATTACTGTGAAGGCATAAGGCTACTTTTTAGCCTACGTAGTTAAGAAGGAAGGTAAACTTGAACATCGCTTTTCTCGTTGATGATATTTTACGAATCTACATTAAGATTTTTCAACACCCAGTGTGGGTGTTTCACTGAGTTCGATGTTTATTTGGGTCACGTATATAAGCTTTAAGGTGCTAATCGCACGATGTTTTCGTGTGCTACGAGCTTTACTTGGCGCCTCTCCTGCAACACGCAGACGGTTGGAATGTTCTGAACTTCAGTTGCTGAATTAAAATTAAGAAAATTAAATTAATTTAAAAAATTAAAAAATTGAATTAGTAAAAAATACAAAAATTACATTAATTATATTTTAAAAATTATAAAAATTACATCATTAGAATGATGTGTAAGCATCTGATGTGTAAGCATCTATACCGGAAGTCTTTGGACTTCCAAATAAACATCGTAATAGGAGTGCGCTTACTATATTTTATTTGGTCTATTGAATGAAACGTGATGGAGTACTCGGCTCGTACTATCAAAACTTGATATCAGTATACTGAGTGGCTGATTTTAGCTTGAAAAAATGACAATGATTGGCTGCCGAAGTAACGAATGCGAATTTTTTTTACTATACCGTCTATACGGCACCTGATATGATATTTGCCAATACTCAACTTAGCGTCGTCGTATAGTGAATTTTCTGAGGCAATCTACCGCATCGGCCACACAAATAACACTATCCTGAATTAGGCTGTACAACGCTGTAGCTAGATACACTGAATAAAAATCAGTATCGATATATTATATTTTTAACGCATTTCAAACTCCCGCGCAATACGTTATACTAAACTAAGAGTGCCAAGTCGGTAACACAGACTGATTTTTCATTCTATCTTGATATATGAATAATTAATAAACGCGTCTTTGATTCAGATGCATCAGAGCCACAACCCCGAAATAAAAGGCGATGCCATAATTCTAAAATATACTGCTCATTCAAAAGGGATCCATAAAGCCTTGTAAATAAATTTCGAATGATGGAGCCAGTGCAGGAAATGTATTGTACTGAAGAGTTCCACTGTACGAGCAGAATTCATAGAATAGCTGATATCAATAATTTGGTGACGACACCGAACAATGATGTTAAGCCATTTACAATTTCAGTGAATCCTCGGCTAGTCATGAGCAATTGACAGCAGTTACACTCCAGGCATCTGATGTTAATTCAAAGTCGTTTCAACAAAATCAACTCGTAATCGACGTTATTTTTACGTCATTTACCTTGAAAAATACACGCTGAAATGGGACTGCAGCTCCATGTTTCACTGGGTTGTAGCTGCTGGCACCGTTGCCGTCGCGGCGACCAGTCAGTCCCTCGCTGCGGTTGCCGTCAGTTTCTCAGGCTGCGCTGGCCGTGACACAGCGGCGTAGGTCGCTCCGACCGTGCCTCGTTTGTCCTGAGACTCTTCCTTGCAGTGTAACATGTTTGTTCTGTGAATTTTGTGTAAATCGTGCATGAATAATGTGAGCGCTGTCAAGCAGCGATTGTTGGATTCCGTGCTAATTTTTAGGATTGCTATGTGAAAGAAAATTCGAAGTGTAAAAACAGTGACCTGACAAAAAAAAAAAAAAAAAGAACCGGCGACGTTGAAAAACTTCCGGATTTCCGGACTGCACGTGTCATCTGATGACTTAGTCATTCATCAGTGCAGAAAAGATGCGCAGAAACTGGGATCGCGAATTCAAGTGCAGATGCAATTTTTTTGAATGGTCTCTCGTAATATATTAATTAAATATTCATTATTCGATGACTGTGCAAACGTGCAAATGTGTGGGATAAGAGCAGAGAATTACAAAAATTAGATGTTGAGTTTGAACCGACGAGATAAAATTGAAAGAATTTGATTCAGAACAAACTTCGGGACTGGTAATTTTGATATGTTATAACAGCTTAATTCTATAGTAGGGTAAATTTCTAGTACACTCACAACCGCTAATCGTCGATAATACTTGAATTATGACGTTCGTTTATGAAAAATCATCTTTGAGGCCTATGATCGGTTAAAAAATTGCATAATTTCTAGTTAATTTTAAAGCTCAAGGCTGCATCTTGACTCGTGTACTGCTGGTAATCGTGTACTGCCGGTTATCGTGTTTTGGAGGTTTATTTAAAACTATTTGAAAGGTTCGTCATATTCAACTTCGAAGGGAGTCTGTATTTCTTCCGCCATGCCTCCAGCTGGTGCTGGTGGTGGTGGAAATGACAGCAGCAGCAGCGAAGGTGGGGGCGCTGCGTCTAAAGTAAAACTGAGGGCCTTCCGCGGCCCCGGCAGGAGCTCCCTGAGAGAACGCCGTCGAGGAGTCCTGCTGTTACCGATGCTTAACGTGCCACCGGCGTCAGGTGATTTTTCTGATACTGCATCCACTGCTTCGCTGCCGCCATTACCTCATATGAGGTCCCCGGTGATGTACAACGCGGGTGGTGGCATTGTCTTCAACTTGGGCCCTGAACATCATCAGCAATACAATCAACACCACAGTGTCCCGTATCACGGGTATTCATCGCATGACGCTTCAAGGTTTCAAGGACCCAATCCGTATCATTCTTTTTCCACACCACCTTCGCCGACTCGTTCTTGCTCCGAATTTTCTTCTTTTTCTTTCCCATCAAAGCAGCGGTCACCATCGCGTCTTTCTTCATCGCGTCTGTCGCTTTCGACGCTCAGTAAAGTTTGTTCAGTGCTACGATCTTCCTCCAATGTCCAAAACACGTACAATGGCTGCAAAAAATCGAATAGTGTTATTGTCACTGGCTCGCTGTGTGATAATAACAACGGTTTTGCCAAACAAGGCCATAATTTGTGCGGTAACTATTCCGGTAGCTACAACAACAATTACGAAAACAACATTTACAAAAAGACAAACAAGTTCAGTGGAGTTTCTGGTGTTCCGGTGCCGACACGACGGTTCCCTTTGTGGCGCACGCCAACGCCTCTAAGGAGAGCTTCGACTCCTACTCCACCTCGACGGGCTGCTTCTCCTCCAAGAACTCCTTCTACTCCTTCTGCAGGAGTAACAAGGAGGTCCTTTTCAGCCCCGAGGACAGAATGGGGAGGTTCAGTTTGGGGACTAGGAGGCAGTTTTTCAGCAGGTCACCGAACTGATGATATGCCACCAAAATTTATTCTTCAGCGGCTTCTGGCTCTTCGGTCTCGTCCAGGTCTCGCTGTAAGTGAATGGAAATTCATTTTTTGCTTGTGTGTTTGTTTTTATCTGTTAAATTTGGTTTTCCTTAACGTTGAAAGACCAATTTTATTTCCAATTTTAATCGCCGTGATAACGTAACCGTTACGGAAAAATCCGTTTCGGTATGCGGGGCTCTGCTGAACAATCAGCTAAACTGCCAAAAAACTGAAGAAATGGAATAACTGAAGTCGTACCTTGTACGACTTCACGTACTCATTCTAACTATTGCAAAAAAACGTTTATTTTTAACAAAAATTCGATTATTGAATTTAATGCATTATTTTTCACTTTCCAGCGCTACCACCATGAATGTAGCGATTTAAATTGTAATATTTATCTATATTGGGAATATTTACATTCGGACTTCCATACTCAGACTTCTAGTGTCGAAATAATTATGGAAAAGTCACGTATGGATAATTATCAACTATCGAACGTTGGAAGTGTAGGCAATTGAGCAGAGATTAAAGTCTATATAAGAATTTCAATTTTTAATTTTCCATTACCATCTATTAATTCTTTCCTCATGACATATATGAAATTTCGTTACAAGCTATTAGAGTTGAGCCTATATACGTGCTTAGGCAGACGCGGTTACACATCGTAAACCGAATGCACAGGTTATACATATGCAGGTGCCACCGCTCGGCTTTTCAGCTGATTTCTGTTAGCGGCTTGCAGTAATAATTTTGTGGTTCCCTAATGGAGAGCTTTTCTCGCACAGCTTGGTCTGCCTACTGACCACCGTCTACACTTGACACACTTACCTCACTCGACTTTCGATAATTTGCTCTCGAAATGCCGTCTACAGTTTCCCTTGTAGCTCTGCGGTGCTTTCTTTCACTTTGTCCTCAATATTCTACTCACGCTCATCTAATCGTCCATTGCCGGTGAACTACCGTCTGGGAAAGAAAGTGTGGGTTCATGTTTGTCTATTAAGTTGTATGTCTTCCTGAGTGGAACGTTTTGTTTTCGCGAGTCTATTTCTGATAATTTAATGTTTTTAAGAGTGTGTTTATAAATTAAGATTCACATTTTTATTAGTATGAGGCCACGTCAATTAAGTTAAAGATACTTGGACGACCGACTATAGAAATGCAGTGTGAATTATGGACATTTGTTTTTCCTTTGTTATTTACAAGCCAAACCATTTGATCATTACGCTTTCAATTTACAATTAAAAAAATCCAATTATATTCAAGAGGGAAACTATATAAGACTGCTTATTGTAATGCTAAAAATTTCACTTCTGACTAGCCCAAATCAGGCTAGGATTCGGCATGCATGAGCTGACTCATCACTTTTGATTTACAGCTTTAGATCCACGGAATAAAACCAGCATGACATCTTCCTACTACAGATTCAGCTGAACCCGTTATGAGATTAGATCCGAGACTTCGGCTTTTCCAGAAGTGCTGTCACCCAAATCAATTATTGTTGCAGATCTCCTCATGTTAAATTTGGGTCGCCTAAATGTCACACGAGTGTCGAGAAAAAATCTTTTTAACAATTTCACCTTTGATTTTAGCGAGGGATTCATTTTCAAGCGATCCGACCCTAAGATCTACTATATCTACTTTGACTTGCAATTTTTCGAGTACTTTTCTTTTGCCTCAAAACCTGATGACTTTGCAGTATGCCGTACATAGACTCTTTGACTTGAATTCTATTTTATTCTGAAACTCGCGTGTATGTACAGAGATGCCCCGGATGTCGACGCTAATAAGTTCTAGGTATAGCATCAACGTAAAACCTATGAAAGAGAGCAGTTGAGTTTGAATCGTGTTTTGCATCAACTGAATAATGTAGCTGACAAACGACAACAATCGGCGGAAGAGCAAAACATAGCGGCGTTTGTTTCTAAGAATTCGCCTGAATCGTGTCGACTTTTGATTTACGATTTTGCAAATTTTTATCGTCGTCTTTTATTATATCGAAATCCTATTCGGTCGATTTCTCTGGTTCCGCCATATTTATTTATCAAGAGGCAGTGTGTGTTATGTTAATTTTTAAAACCAATATTGTTATGAAATTGGCGATTGTTTTATTCGTCAGCACCGCGCCATTCGCTGTATTGTCAGCTATCTACGATTTGTTTATCCTGAATTAATACCTTATAATTTAAGAAATATTCAATAAGACTAAGCGACTGATAGAATTTGTTAGTAGCCGATTAGTTTACGGTACGTTCTTCTTGCTTTATTCCGTCCAAATTATTGTCTGAAATGTTCCTTCATGAATACGCGGTTGCTTCGCTATCCTCGGATCAGGACCTGTGCAAACACCCCTCGGCTGATCGTATCTGTCGCCGCAACGACACGCTGCATCTCGGCATGGCACCGCGATCGCTCGATTTGGCAGTCCTAGGCACGCTATCTCAGGCGTGGCGTGCACTCTTGGAAGCTCTTCGATGTTCTCATAACATGACTATCGCCAAGAATAATTGAAGAAGCCGAGAGGACTTGAAATGGAATCGTTGAAGGCTGTATCTTTTCTTCTCTCAGCTTTTCTTCTCTTCTCGCCTTGTTGAATTCTATGACAAATGATCGGTGGTCTTGGCGACAAACCTGTTCTGAAGCAAATATTTTTCTATGGGCTCTAGACATTCTATTTACAGCCGCTAAAATAGAGCAGTAGATTTATTCAATAGCTGAAGCTTATTTTTATTCTATGAATGCGATAAAAAATTAAAAAAAAAGTCGAGGAGATTGATGCATTCATTGCATCACCAATTACTTAGATATTAGCTTCCAGTTGCACCCATTCTTTTATTAAATGTAGTATCATTCTTTTTGCAATTATATGGGTCTCCTATTCCTTCGGTATCCGAAAAAACGGCAAAAATTGCAACGACGAACTCGTCCCGCTTCTTGCTTAACTTTTCGGGCTAAAGTCATGGAGCAAGTTTCTTGACTGACAAATTCTTTTTGATGTTAGTTAAGTTGATAATAATTTGTTCTACAATAACAACTCATTTGTTATATTTGACTCAATGGTTTTTAGCGTAAACAATTCTGCACTAATATAATCCGCATTTAAATTTTGTTAAAATAGGTCACATTATTAACAAATATTCTTTCCATATTAGTGCACAGTACAGTGTTATTAAATTCCGTAGCTATCAGTGCTTGAGGCTGGTCTATTCTTGCATGCAACTTTATTTCAGCAGTACGAATCCATTCGTGTTGGTCACACAAAATATCGAATTTATTTTATCTGATATCAACGTTCATACTTCTTAACTCGAACACTTGGACAAAATTTTGGGAAAGAGCTGCATAAGATGATTCAAAAGGCAGATAAAAAACCAGTCAAATCTTTACTTTGATGAAAATTTGAATGACGATAACTCCACCCACGTATATGTCCAGCCTGCAAGTCTGAAGAATTAAAACCGTGGTTATATTTTAGGCGATAAAAGCTCAAATGCAGAAAATTGTGCTCGATGCATCGGTCTTGAAAGACAGGGTTAAATAAATTAATGCGTGGTAGGGAATAGCACTTTTAGCTAATGAAAACATGTTGCCACGCTTTCTAATTGTTAAGCATTCAAATGACTAGAACAATCCTTCAAAGAGGCATATAAATTACTTGAAGGTAATATTCAAAAGGAATTGGCGATTACGGGCTTATTATTCATCAGAGTCTCTAGTGGAAGGAATGGAATTTACTACCTCATCACCTCTTGCTCCGTGCCCTCGGAGATAGGGTGACGTACCTGAACTACTAAAAAATATGGCGTGGACGGGCGCTGGCGTTGACTAGCCCGGAGCTGGTCCACACCCGCGCCGAGGTAGACTGCCGGGGCCAAAGTACAAAGTAGTGGTAGCTTTGGTGGGTAATCATGGGCCGTGGAGGTCTGCCGTGGAGCAGACGACACCGGTGTTCACGTCTAAAGTGCTGACCGTGCTCAGGTCGTTCTTCAAATAAAGGCTTTACTCCATGAGCTCAATTGAAGAACAGAGGTTGGACATCTTCGCCACAGGAAATCCTGCTGCTAAATGTTCGCAGAAGACAAGGCAAGAATTATGCGTACTAGCAGTACCCTGAGAGTTGTTACGGAATCTTGCAACGAACTGGCGAAAAATTCTTCAGAGAAGAATGGAGTAAAGTATGGAGCGAGATGTTAGTTTCACGCTAAATGTGCACGCTGAAGCTATTTTCAACGTCACCCAAATCACATGAGGCACGGAGCAAGCATGGATGTGAACGGGAGCGCAGCCGTGCACTAACAATTTTGTGCACCAATAAGCTCTGAATCGAATTCCTTGGATCTCTCCGGACCTACACCAATCAGCCGTGCACCACTCGGCTTTGTCCTCTTCCGGCCTTGACCACCACCAGCCGTGCACCACCAGGCCGCGGATCGAATATGACTTCCGGGCATCGTAAAATTACGTAATTTTACGTTCGCCACATCTGAGGTTAGGTTTCAGATAGCATAGTTCTGTTCCAAAATTTATCATCCTTCGACCAGTGGCCGTTCGACCGAGGGCTGGTTCGACCCACGGCCTAGATGCGGACGGCTTGAAGTGTTGAAGGCTACGTTCCGGAAGGCAGGAATCATGATGGTCCATTACATCCAGGGCAGCGGTGGTCTTCGGCAGGCGATCCGATGTGAACTTTATGCCCGACATTTCTCACAAATTAAAACTAAATCATAATTTTTTGTTCAACATTCGGCCACTAAACATTTCGAGCAATGCAGTTTCTGTTGGCATTATTCATACAATATCTTTCATTAGTTCTGCTACACAGGCCATTAACGTTTTAACGGGAACATCGTGAACGTCCCTAGCTGGCTGCAAGAGAGCGCATGAATTGGTTGCAAAAGGCATCCGTCTTAGACATGCACACGCTCAAAACTGAAGAAATATCGCCTGGAATTTCACGGCTTGACCCAAACACATGACCTTACTTCTCGTAATTTCATCGCTATTTTGGATAATAAAATTCCCAGTCAATCCTGACGAATGAGAATC